AGAGAGAGAGAGAGAGAGAGAGAGAGAGAGAGAGAGAGAGAGAGGTAAGGATTTGAGAAGAAAGGGTGTGGGTTTGACAGGCGAAGCATTGTAGTATTCCTGCGGTATCAGAAAATTCACCGTGTTATGATGTTTTTAGTAATTTAAAAAAATAATATTATAATGCGACATATTATTTTTATATAAATTTTCAAAGAATATCATATTTATAATTATTGTCAATAATACTAAAAAAATATAATATGATATTTTTATATTATGTTATAGTATTTTTATAACGTAATACTAAAATATTATTATATAATATTTAACATTTTTATATTGTATTTTTAATATTACTGAAATATTATAATTATATCAATTCATCATATAATCAATCTATTGATAATAGTAAAAAGAGATAAATGGTTGGGTGTATTAGTTAAAAAATTTATTATAAAAAAATTTAAAAAATGAGGGATATTTGCGAAGATAGATTTTTTTTTTGTTGTTGAAAATTCGTCCCATCTTTATTTGCTATGAATCAGAAAATAAATAGATAAATAAATAAAGATGACCTGTCGTCGGGGTGGGTGATGAGAGAGAGGTCTCTCTCCTCTGGGGATTGTGTGTGTGTTAAGACATACTTCCCACGCTCCATCGGGCACGTGGGAGACGACGATGTGACGTTGACGAGTCGCACACGTGTGCAATGTGGCAGGAGACACAGCACGCGCTGTTGCGTCTCCCTTCGCTGCTTCAGGGAGCGCAGCAGCGCTGCTGCATTCAGTGGTCCGACCGCGTGGCCTCGTCGCGTCTCCTGTTATTATTCCACGTCCAACACCCAACTCTGAGAGGAAGGAGTTATTGCATCCCCTACTTCCTTCTCTTTCCTTCTACATAAATGTATTTGTTGGTGTTGATGGATGATAGTTAGCATAAATATTTTTAATATTAATAATAAATTATGAGATCCAATCTTACATGACATTCATTATAGGATGACATAATTGATATATTAGCTTCATTAAATGATATTAATTTTGTTAACTCTAAATTTGACTTCAAATATTACACTAAAATCAGTAATAATTCACCTGACAGACATTCATAAGTCAATTTTAATACCAATTCCATGAGACAAAACTGGTATATATATATATATATATAAACTGAGCAGAAATTGAAAACACCACTCAAACTTCAACCCTGACAGCAGAACTGAGACATATAGAAAATGCCCAGTGAAAAATCTGCACGTATGATTTCCAATTCCGAACTATTATACATTCAGATCATGCCATGAGAGCTCAGTTTGATCTTTTAGGGTCTTCAAATACAACATGAAGGAGAAGGATTGTTATTCTTAGTTCTCATAAACATATTACACATCTCAGTTTGGATTCGAGGTGGGGGTGCTGTCAACCCATAGCATACTTCTGCGTCCATGCTCGAGCTGTCTCTTCGTATTGAGACCTCTGCATCTTGTACGTGTGGGCGATCTCAGGGACGAGAGGATCGTCAGGATTGGGGTCTGTAAGAAGGGAGGAGATGGAGAGGAGGACCTTTGATATCGTCAGTGCAGGGCTCCACTGCTCCTTGAGGATGTCGAGGCAGATGCTTCCGTTCGAGTTGATATTGGGGTGATAAACCTACAATGATTGACATCCAGAATTAATAAAGTGCTTTTTTTTTGGCATCAGCAAACTTGTTTCAGCTTTAAAGTTATAGATTTCACAGGCAATCAATTGATCCAAAGCAAAATCTAACAAGCGTACGATGACCATGTGGTTCAAATTCCTCTGATACTTTAATCTCAAAGGTATAAGATAATTTGATACAATGGCGCAGCTAGCAAGATATACCAAACCAAAAACAGATAATTTGATCATTGATTTATTAAGAACTATTTATATTTTTTCCTGTTGAGCATCCAAATGCCCAATAACACGGCAAAAAACCTTCTAGCTAACTGAGAATATGTAGATCTCAGAAAGGAGAAGAAAGAAAAAGAAACCACTACATACTCCTACTTGATATTAGGTCAACCAGAATGCCGGTTCCGTTTCGATGTACCAATAGAGATATGCACAATCAAGGCCCATGAATGAAGCACCCAAAAATTTCTGGTTTAACCAATAAATACAAACTTCTAAACAAACAAGATCTTAAAATTACTCATTGTTAGAAAGTGTGCCTCTTAATGTTGTTCCACAAATATCCACCATAAGAATTCGATACATTGAGAAATTAAAAGCAGGATCATAACATGAAAACACATAAAATGACTAATGCAAGCATTACGTCTCTACAGCTAGCTACTTATTAATGTCAACAAAGTACAATATTAACATTCCTCTTTCAGCAGCAGACAGCAAATGCTGCTTTTATCTATAGATTATTCTACAATGCTCTAGTTTCTGTAACCATACAGGTGAGTTTCAAGGAACTTGAGTATGAAAAATGGTTTTTAATCAGAATTGAATTCAATGCAAGCGCTCCAAGTAACTAAAATAAGCATGTAAAATTCCATGTGAAGAAATGTTAGAAAGGTTAAGGACTTCGATTTTATGATTTATGAGTTGAAAGCATGACATAGTTAGAAATACTTGTTAAAAGCAAATGCAGACATTTATGCATATCACATAGCAATTGTAGAGGTGAAAGACATTGAAACCTTCTAGCAAACAATTGACGATATCTCTAAACAAATTAAGTTCTTTGCAAGACAAATTAGGTGCCAATCTGCTGCAATTGAGCACCAAAGCAATCAAAATAACAGCAATCTCAATTGCTAGGGTCAAATATCCTCTTAGTTTATGTGATAACAAGAACCAGTCATTATACCTGCATACACATTTCTAGCACAGATCATGCAACAAAAAGTGTTGCAGGCAAGAATAAAATGAAAATCAATATACACACTTATTTCTGCTCACCTTTGTCTGGAAGTTGACTTTTGGAGGCTTAAATGGATAGTCAGGTGGAAAATGTATCTTAACAAAGAACACTCCACCTGCATAAGGACTGTCTGCAGGACCCATGATTGTTGCCTGCCATTGGAAGAGATCTTCCCCAACAGGTCCAGCACTGCATGATGTTGGAGGATCCCTCTGCAAATCCATTAATTCCTTCTGAATCCGTTTGCTAGCCATAGCGTCTTGTGATTTTCTAAAATATGTCAGAATAGGGAATATATCCATAAGCAAACAGATTGTCTTTAAGGAAAAAAAAAAAAATCTCCAGGAACAGAATTTTGCAGAAAACTAAAAAGCAAGTGGACAGCTGATGAAAATATAAGCCAAAACTTAACCACAAGGAAATCCAAGAGATGAGTTAATTGAACACACCTTAACCTATGCAATATCTTGCACATATTACACAAACAACAACAGACAGCAGACAATTTATGTTAGGCGTTTCCAAGATATAAAAGCAAGCAGTTCATTTTTCAACTCGCCATGTATTAGATATGAGAGCTTTATGATATACTTGCTAGAAGAATCCTGGAAGTCAAAGATAAGTAATATTGTTAAGTTTCCTCAAGTCAAAAGATACACACATATTGATGGTTAGGCCTTCTTCTGCCTAACTAATGGTATTTGCGACACATAGAACACGACAGCAGGCATTTCGAGTACCATTATACGCCAACACGCAAACATCCAGGCCATGCACAAACAAAAGAAATACTACTGATACAAAGATTTATGTCAATGGCCAATCGGAAAAAGCTCTTTTGTTGCATGCCCAAGATTTCTCAGATGTCAATGCGTCGGCTTTACAAGGTCACCAATCACTAAACGCGCACATCGACCAGAAACATATGTGGATAGAATATGCTGATTTTTAAGAACAAGGGAATAACTAATTTTGTCTACCCTTGGATCACCTCTCTCTATTCTGATGTCAAAAGTTTCAGTATTGGATACAGAGGCTCAACATGGCCCGTAACCTATCTGGCCATGATGGTTCTACAATTATATTCTGACCTGTTGGAAGATTGTTATGTAGTACTCCAGTTTATAACAAATCCGATGGCGAGCTAGAATCATAGCTGCAGGCAAGCAACCAATGCATCAACTAGCTACCAAGGGAAAAAAGAGTCTGCTCACCAAGCATGTTCCTATACATCAAAGTCAAGAACTCCACCCAGGTCCCAGGAATACTAGAGCCACATATTTACCAGAATAGGCCATATAACAAAAATCTTTACATCCGGGCATCATTCTTGAGCAAGAAAACCAAAACATAAAAAATGAATAGGCGATGTAACAAAAAACCGATCTTTCGTTCTGAAAACTAAGTAAAACAAAGAATAAACTTCATAAATGAGCAGGAAATCAAAAAGCCCTTGTTCTCGATGTAAAAGTCAACGAAATCTTTCGCTCATATCCGTTTGAACCCGTGGAACACAGGGTTGGTAAGACGATGAGCTACCACGAAACAGATCAACGAGATCTAACTGTTACCCATGCGAAAAGCGGCGCAGATACGGCAGGGATCCATCTCTGAGATAGTTTGCCCATCTAAACAAGAAAATTCTTCGAAACAGGGGGGGAAAACAGGAAAAGCTCTACGGAAGAACAAAATAACGTCTATAGACCATTAAATTGTTCCGATTCGAGAAGAATTAAGCAGCGACCGTGAAGAAAAAAAGGAGGCGACCTGCTTACAGATCGGAAGAGTTGGATCGATGCGAGCTCCACCGCCGGCTTTGACAAGGAACGAAAGAGGGAGAGAGAGAAGCGTGAATAGGCGACGGCGGTATATGGAGAGCAGACGTCGTATCAGGTCACCTCCCGGTCACCGTTAAGCACAAGAGAACCGTTATTATGTATTATACGGATAATATCGGGTAAATCTTAACGGTCATTTATGTTTTGTAACGGTAAATGTGCGTTGGCAGTGACGGTAATTGCCAAATGTGATGGTATTTTTATCTGGATAACGTTGACATGTGCATGACACGAATTGGAATTTAACCGGCGATTTTAATCGTAGCTGCATTCTTACGTCCTTCTGCGCTCGCGCGTACCTGCGTCACCTACCCGTTCCGCGATTGGAAGGTTGCGTGGGACCTTAGCGATAAGGTCGGTCAACGGCCAATATATATATATATATCGGTACTCGTTCCCATGACACCCGCATGCCGATTCTCTTGTAAACGGCGGGTCCCACACGAGCAATCTCCCGATGAAGCACTCAGGAGAGATGGTGAGGCGAGAAAGAAGTACAATTGCTCCATCACACGTATCACTAAGGTGTACAGGAAGTCTCAAGGCATACGAGTACAGAATACAAGGCACCAGTGCATGAGCGTACCTATACATGCATTGCAGAGACAAAACTTGATTCCTGTCATTGTCCACTCAATTCATCAGCGACAGTAAACTTCTTTGGCTTTCGACCGAACCAACGAAACAAAGTAGGGTATATATACTTGGAGTTGGTTTATGCTTATGCCCACAGAGGAAGTTCCATTTCTTGCCGCAACAGGGAACATTTTGCTTACGTTGTGCACCAAAAAACAATGCCATCGGCATGTAGTCCCCTCGCCGGAGTCGTCTCCGGCACCGAGGCTCAACAAAACATTCTCTTCTGAATCAACAAAAAAGCAAGCTAATCATCAGAGAACAAAATTTTAGACGGATATTTTGAGTTTAAGTTGGAAAATTAGCTCTCACATTTCATCTCAAGTATAAGAGGATGATATGGGAAAAACTTAGCTAATCATCGAAGAGTAGTGTCGATGACATGCATCAAATTTATGGATGATACCACCATACATATTGAACTATTATCACAAATAAATTGGTTGATAAAAATGTGCAGCTCCATATAACCAATTGAACTCAAGTCAGGCACTGATAATTTGATTAAAATCTTAAAAATTTTGTGAGTTGACTGTGACTGTGTTTAACAGGGACCTAAAATGAGAAAGTTTTATATGATTTGCACTTTAAGCGAAATAAAATATATAACAAGATTTTACCTCAAGTTTCAAGTCCTGCAATGCATCTAACGACTCGGCAAATTCCAGTTGCTTCATGACCGTGGCATGCAATACCTGAAACAGATATAATATTAGAGATGCACTGACAAAACCAGGAATCATAAACCCCTACACAGAGCAGCAAGGTAATGAGTGCCAAATGCTACAACTTTGACATGGCTTGAAACTAACAAGGTTCCTAAACTTTAAAAGTTCAAGCTGAATATATTAGATCCAAATAAGAAGCCTAATAGACTCTCGTAGTTAATGCTATACAACATAATAGACTGTCAAGGATGCCAAATAGGAGAGAGATACGAAAGATAAAAATCTCTTCCTAGAAAGGAATACCAAGTGAATAATGAACCCAACATCTAAGCATGTCTGCCCACAACTAGTTAGCTCTTCAGAAAAGATCCTTCGGTGACAGAAATTCTCTTTCAAATGTTTGCCATTGATACTTTTATGAAACAGCAATTCCAATAAAGCATAGACAAAGACAAAGGATCTGAGAGAATTAAGGATATGCGAATTCACAAAAGGTAGTTTTCCTGTACATGAAATAATTTGATCCTTATTTATCATATAGCAGAAAATGTCATTAAAATATATAACAAGTGCTAAAATCAATTGGACAGAAGCCCTAATTTATTCATTGAGAAAAAAACTTTTGATAGCAAGTTGTTCCAAGCATAGATACAAAGAAAAAGGGAGAAGATTATATATACAACAAAGACATGATTCCTATCTTGAATATACTAATATAACAGTATTATGGAGGTAGATAGCAGGATGATATAAACTTACCCTTTTGGTCTTTTCTAGATCAAACTCAACATGCTTTATTCGATCCCATGATTCAAGTAGCATATGCTCTTTCTCCGAAGGAATCTCAGCAGGCTTCTTGGTGAGCTCATCAAACATCATTTCTAGCCTTTTAATCCGCTCCAAACAAGGACCCAAATGATCTTCAAGGTTTTTCACTGTTGAACTGTGCTGGACAGCCAAATTCTGAGCGTCTGAAGTACGGATGTTGCTCAATTTTCTCTTTCTAAAACCATCAACGTGAAAGAATAATAGAATTTTGACTAAGGAAGCTATTAATACTCTTGAAAACAACTGAAAAATCCCTTCTCCTGTATCCTCCTTGGTGACAGGGTGACTTGCCATGCTCAAACTATCTGAGAACAACAAATACAAATCAAGACTTTTGAAGACTAAGAGATGAGAATTTGTTGCCTAAACAAAAGGAAGATTCTCTATTGGAACAACCCAGCTTGCAATACCATGTTGATTCGATGTTGAAAAGCCATACGATCTCTGTTCCTCGTATTTTATATCTTTTGTCTTTTCATAAGATTGTTCTCCTCTTCTAACACAATCCATAGCCTTGTCGACCACAACAAAGTGTTCATCACAACTATAGTAAGCTGTTGAATCTCTTGCTCTGATCTGCATTTATCATCAAGAAACAATGGCATGGAGCAGTTGTGATATATCCCAAGGGGAACAAAAATCATCATCAAATAAACTAATATTATCTACCCTATCTTTTTAAGATAGTGATTAACATGCATTCACAAGAACACCATAGTTGTGATGACCACTTTCTCATCATTCTCACTAAAAGAATTAATTAGGATATAAAACAATTAGACGCAAACAAGGATACAAGAAAATGAAAAAGAAACCATAAATGACCTTTTTAGCAAATTTGAAAGACAGAAATTGACAGTTTAGAGAGTGATTTACTAATGTAAGCACCTCCAGAATTTAGTTGTTTTTTTTCAAAGGTTATTGTGAAAAGAAGATATTAGCATATAAAATTAGCATATATTGTATGGAAGATGGTTTGTGCATAAACAAACCCTCTCCTCTTTTTCTTTTTGGTCCCGTTTCCATATTCAAATTACAAGGGTAGAATCCTTAATTTTAAAGGATTTATCAGGAAATTCTTTCAATTTCTGAGCAATGGGAAAAAATTCATTCTGAAATATCTCTAGTATCATGTATCATACATAGCATAATAGAAAAGAAAAGATGGCATTAGGTAATTATTTGTTGAAAGGATAAAACATTTTGCTCATGCTGCCCCTTTCAGATCACTTATTTCAGTTAGCTTTTCAAATGAACACTACATCAAGGTTGTTGACGATAGATTTTACAGAACCATTAGAATTTTCACTGGAAAATTGAGAACTGCACTATAACAAAATAAAACACAACATGAGGTCTTCAAAACCAGGAGAGTGAAGAAATCTCACTTCTTCACGTACTGGAGCTAAACGGCTATGCTCAACAGGTTTGAAAACAAGATCATCAACATCTGATCCAGATTCAAGTGTCCATGTATCGCTACTTCTTCCCTGACAATAACACAGACTCAAATATTTTACAGGAAGATCATTGCATAATGTAACTGCAAAAAGATAGGAATAAAAAAGATAGAACAGATGAAAAAAACACTTACCTTCAAAAAATATGACCCTACAAAAGCTTCATCTCCACCTGACATTCGTCTAGTATGCCTTAGTGAATCTGCTTCAGCATTATATTCAAGCTAAAATTTGAAAGATATTGGTAAGAACTTTTCCCCTGTTTTTCTTGTTTGATAGACGTAAAATAAAAAAAAGCAAATCCCTTCTGGTATCAAGGTATTCATCCAAACAGGACATTATCACATAAAGGAGGATATATCTTTTAGAATTGCTAATTCAAGTTCGATTACAAAACAGGTGACACTTCGAGCATGAAATCCTGAAATGTTCAAGACAAATGGTTTCATGCTTAAAGAAGACTAAGCGGAAAACCCAGTTTGGCTAATTGTATTCCTTGAACAAAAGGAAGCATCAATTCATGGGACACAATGAATGGAATAAGAAAACTATCACTCAATCAGTTCATCCTCGTGGGATCAAAACTTTCAAATAGAATAGTTGGTTGCTCTATTAGTTGATCAAACCTAACCTAGTGGAATGACGGTGAACAAATGGGAATGTAAATGCTTACTTCAGTTAAGTGAACGAATTGTACCTTCATAATGTTAGGATCATTCCATGGTCCTTTATTAGACTTCAAACACCCGCCTTCAACAGAGCATGTACATGTACCACCCAAAAAATCTGGAAGTTGGCTGAAATGTGACAAACATATATAAGTTACTAAACCATAAAAAAAGAACCACCATCAAAATCGACATCAATATCAATATCAATATCAATATCAAGAGAGTATAATATGCCCTTAACCTTGAGTCAATGATTTCAAGTAATGCACTCTGATATTTTGTTCCCAATACCTGCATGATAAAATATTTATTCATGTATATTGTGGTCCAAATACCGGCAAAACAAATCCCTTTGCATGTCAGGACACTTACATGTATCTTTGCTGTTGTTTTTGGGTCAAGAAAACCCTTTACAGTGTTCCAGAGAAGCCTAAAGCCATGACCAGCATTGACAATAAACATCTGATGTAGAGTCTGCATTTTAACAAGTGGGGTATCTCTATCTTAATACAAATGAATAAAAATAATGCAATGTTATTAGGATAAAGTCAAGTACCTCAGGGTAGTAATCTCCATCAATTTTTTGCATTTTAAGCAAGAGGTCTCTTGCTGTTTTGCCGAAATTCTTCAAACCCTGCACCAAAGAGAACGCATACTGATTCAGAGAAATCAACCCGAACGGCTTCTCACTTCCAGCACCTTGAACATCTCAGTATTTTATATAAACAACAATATATCTTCATCACAGTCTGCTT